GAATGCATCTCACAGACGCAGACGCAGACAGGCCGAAGTGCAAGTCCAGACTTCATAAATTATAATTTGCCCGCGGCCATAAATAGCCGCCAGCAGTCTTGGACACTTTGACTACCGATTATAATCAATCTTGGAGATAGATTTTGCCCAGACAACGAATGTGGCAGGCCACGACTAAAATGATAGACGCACAAAGCTTTCGTAATTTAAAACGAGCTGAAGTCCGACTCTGAGCGATCACGCAATGGATCTGCCTCGGCTTCTCGATGGTGTAGTATCTCCTCGGAGCTGGTAGCTGTGAACTCTCTCCACCAACATGTGTCCATGTCCAGAGCCATGTCCATGTCCAGTCCTTCTCGGTGGCAGTTGCTTCTGCAGCAAGATGAATTCGCATGCTGATCGTTGAGGCACTGAGAATGATTTTTATTGTATATATTTTTGGTTATTAAGTATGAAAAGAGAAATCTAAAAGACCTATCTTTTATTATACAACTTCGTAAGCTTACATTTTTGGTTTAAAGTTATAACTTATATTAAATTTTAGACTGTTTATTTTCAAAATCTTCTCACCCATTTCTCTGAGTGTCCCCTTTGGCTGGCATGCAAAATAGGCGCATGCAAACATGTGTCTCCGCGTTGTCTGGCTGTCTGTGCCCAACTGCAACACGCATTTATCTGCGGCATTTATCACGCATGCAGCGGCTATCCAGGGAGCGAACACTGGGGCTCCTCCTCAACCCGATCCCCTGTTCCGTACCCACTGGACACTGGACACTGGCTAGATGGCAGCCATATCAGGTTGCCAGCGTCTGCTCGTAGATAAGTCGAATGCGATATGCGTATCTCATAGATTTGCCATGAGACGTCATCCAGTCGCTTCTCCTCTGGCTATTTTTGGCCCTGCCTGGTTGCATAAACAATTTGTGGCTTTTCCTGTTGAGGCACACGTTCGTTAATTTCCCTCCAACCCCCATCCAATGTTAGTTTTCCCCCCCAACGGTTTGCATTTTGTCTAAACAAATCTCGATTGATAATTCTGCATAAATTATGCGAGCCAAATGAAATGAGCCCCAGACTGTGGCGGATACGGGCATTCCTTGCAAGATCTTTATGTGACAGGATCTGAAAGGAAACTGAGAAAAACAGAGGGAGAGAGCGAGAGAGTGTGAGAGGGGAGACCCCAATTGATTTGCATTTTCCGGTTGAACAAGGGAAGTTGCTGAAATAGTTGCTTGCAGAGTATCTCACAGATCTTTGGTTGTTTCTGGAGTTACTTGATTAAAAGTTAATCAACTGAGAAGATTCTTTACAGTGAGATATGGATGGAGTTTTTTTTGTAGAAATTTTCTAGGTGAGCCAGTAAAGTGTTAGAGCTTTCTTTCTCTCCGATTAAAGTCATTGTTTACTTTTGATAAGTTATGGGTCGCCCATCGGCAGTTTCTCAGATCACAGATCCAAAAGGTAAAAAGCTTTCCCAGACTGCTGCAGGTGCATTAGCGTCAATCTGAGGAGTACTTCTCACCAACTCATCTCAGATGTCGGGGAGAAAAATCACAAGTCAGCAAAGCGTTCACACACAGCAATGCCTCGCCATGGGCCCAAGGTATTTACCTACTATATAGCACTGTGTGCCATCGCCATTCGATTTAAAGTTAACCTCCTTAGGGCGGAGAATTCCGGGGGCATCAGGAAGGTATTGTAGGTACATGGGTATTGTGCCATTGTGCTTGCTGGACCCCGTCTTGGTCTCTGGTCTCTGGTCCATTGTGCGCTGACTTCCGCTGCTCACTGTCGCCTTTCTTCTCATCATTCTCGTTCTCATTGCATTTAACGCTCATTTCTTGATTCATTATATATTGTGATTCCTCTAAAAACGGGCAGCGGAGGACGAAGAAAAAAAAAAGTGTGAAGCCGGGATGAATGAAGGAATCCTGAACAAAGGCCGGGTCTTTCCGGTCTCGAATACCTCCACTATTCTTTGCACATTTTGGAATATGATTAATTGCCGGAGTCAATTGATATTTTATTGGTTTAGAGAAGCTGCCTCCTGAGGGGAAGCTGCCTTCTCAATATATATGTAGTATTTTGCGGAAGTTGCATTCGAACCGGAACTGTCAGCGGCTTAAGGTTCTCCAATACCTTCTAAGCATTTCCGAATATCTTTGTCTTGGGTCTTGTTAAAATGTTTGCCTCAAATGCTGACAAATGGGTTGTGCCGGCGGACAAACATCAATTGAAAGGGCAGCTGGCTAAAAAACAAAACAAAACGAAGCTGAGCTGCGATTCAAAGAGTAGCCGACGTCGCGACGGGCAAACAACAGGGCCAAAAAGTACAAGACTCGGAAAGACTCTAACCCGTTGCAACTAACAACTAACAAGTTTCTTGTTAAAACAACGCCGGGTCCAATAAAACAACAACCGCCGCGCATGCGCACCGGATTGAATGTCGGACATATATACCTATATAGACGGATATTTAGTGTGACTGCCACTTGGTCAGCCGGCTCTCCGTTCCCATAAGTTGCTTCTCAGAGTCTTTTCTGGTCAAAGTGCGTTTCGTTTGCCTGCGTTTTTCCTCATGTACGACATTATTCGGTGGAAAATGTGTTCAAACACAAAGGTATTTAGTCATGAGAATAGACGCAGGAATTTTTAAAGTCAAGGGTTAACCTTAGGTTGGGTGGTAAGACTGAGGAAATATATTTTATAGTAAAAATTTGTAAGGTTTTCGGTAAGAGAAATAACTTTAAGATTGGAAATTATATTTGAAACATTTTTGAATAAGGCTTTATATTTTTTTAATAGGACAAACTGCTGAGAACTTAGATTTCCTCATCTATTTCTATAAATTTTTAAAGTAAGAGAATTCTTTCCTGTGGTTTTCAAATCCCTCCTTAGACCTTAAATCCTCAGGTTACATTTTGAAATTTAAAAAAATGTATATATGTATTTTAGGAATATTTTCAAGTACTTAAAGATCACTAAAACAATTCCCCCTTTACTCAAAACCCCTCCGACCCCTTATTTGCATTCCCTGAGTTGGCACAACGGTAGTCCCTGGTCCCGGGGCCCTTCGCCCGACCCTGTTTTACCTAATTACACACGAAGCTCCCCCCTTTCTACCCATTTGGCTGCCCTCTCTAATTGTTTAAGTGCTTTTAGCGTTTGGCCAAACAATTTTCATATGCAACTCTCCGTCCACATTGGGACGGCAAACAGACCTTTCCAGTTACCATAAAGCATGAGGCATGCCTCGCCTTTATTTTAAGTTGGTCTCGAAATTCGTTGTTGGATTTGGGTTTTTATTGCTGGGAAATTCTCACACATTGTCGCAAATTGAGAAAGAGAGACTGGGCAGATCGAGGCCTTGCGATGTGTGACGTGAGAGAGTCGGGCGGGGAAAAGCACTCGTGGCACCTGTCTCTTGCCCACCTGGTGGCATAAAAGTAAAAATGCAAACTTCCGTTAGCCGCAAGTGCAACAATCACTGTGTTTTGCATCTGGTTTTGGAAAGGAAATTACTGCTGCTTTTTCTATTTTCCTATGTAGAGCAGTTTTCCCGTAAACGAGGCTAAATTAGTTTCCTTAACAGCTTTTTTTTATAGGATTATGGCTGCCATACTTAAAGCTTCTTAGGCCTATGATTATGGTGATGCAAAACCTTTCTTTAACTGAAACTGTTCCAATTTAAGAGTGATTATTTCCTTTATAGGTTAAAAAATTATTTAAACGTTTAATGAACCAGTTTTATGGTTTATTTAATGTAAATGAGGTCTCTAGGAATAACGATGTGTTGAGTAAAAATTTTCTTTCCCGGTAAAATGTTAGTTTAATTAGACCTATAATTCTTTCTAATATTATTTTATCATTATTATTTTGTTACTATGAGTAATAGTTAAAATGCAATTTAAAGAGTTTTATAGAATTATACAATTTAAGAAAAATGGAGTAGGATATTTTAGTTTAGCATGCATGTAACCTAGTATTTCCTCTAATTAAATTTGAAAATTATTTTTCTTTTTTTTTAGACTTTGACTATGAAAACCCCGTTGCTTAGGCATAAATTCGTAACGTTTTTTTGCGGAAATCTGGTTACACATGTTTTGGGTCATAAATTACTTGTATTTATTTGCTGGCCAAGATAACAAATCAAATTCATGAATTGCCTTGGCCAAAGCCAACTATTAACAGTTGCCTCAATTTCGGGCAATGTATAAATTTAACAAGTTTCATGGAAGATAAAAAGGCAGTCGGAAAAGATTTGCATCTCCCAGGGAAAATACATTTTCTGGGCGACGGAAATATGCAAGTTATGTCAGTGGAGAGGCAGGGAGTGGGAAAAATGTGTGCACATGTTGGCACAAAGTTATGGCCATTTAAAGTTGATTTTCTTGTTGTCACAGTTGTCTCCGTTTTTTTTTTCCTCTACGTTATATATATTTTTTATGTTTGCTAGCTCGTAAATAGTTGTAGTTGCTGCTCTTCAACTGTATCGGATGACACAATATTTTAGGGAAAAACTCGAGTGCAAGTCTTTTAAGATCTGCCTGAAGAGGAGGTCCACAAATATCAATTTCTGGGCTGGCAAACCGCACAAAGAGGTCTCCACTTAGGCCAGGACCTGTCGGCGATCCCTGAATCTATGACTCCTTCCCCTTCTTTATGGGTTCTTAATGTTAGTTGAACTGCAGCAGAGGCGTTTTCGTCACTCGAGTCTCGAGCAGCCAGGCAGCATTTCCTCGATGACGTGCGGCTTCTCCGGCGTGTGAGTAGCGATTGCCAGAGAGCAGGGCTACCTGCCCAGCCATCAGCATAGTCAGATAAACGAGTGAAAACGGTTCGAGTGAGTGGAACTTGCTCTCGAAACCGGTTTCGAGAGAGATTATTATTATCTCGGAGGGTTGGTGCTCTCCGCAAGGCCGCTGCCGAAGCGGTTGCAGCTGCTCCGGCTGCTCACGACAGGCCAGCCGAGGTATCGTCAGCGCGAAAGGCACTTCGGAAAATCAGTGAAAATCGTTGCCTCGTCGTGAGCGGTTGTCTCTGCCTTCTAGCCAAGCCCAGACCTGAGACCCTCTGTTACCAGAGTTGGTAACACGAAAGAGCGTAAACCGTCGTCGAACCAAACAACAACTTGAAGCGTGCAGCCAAAGCGAACCACTGGATTATCGCGCACGTTTCACAAACAATCTAAATCTAAAATACGAAAAACCAACAACACACACTAAACAAAAGTTTTATTTTACAATACACTGCCACTGAAATATTTTATATATATTTTACAAATTGGCCAAATGTGACAAAACATAAAATTGTTTGCAAATTCGAAAAAGTGAAACAGTGACAAACTCAAACTCAAAACACATCACACAAAGAAAAACGAAACATTGCTTTTTAAGTTCAGTTCATCGGGGGAAAAAACCAGAAATTGTTGCTAAACAATCTTCAAAGAAAAACAAAAACGGTAAGTTTTACTTGTGGCTTAAACGGAGCAAAGTTGAACAAAAGTGCAAGAATTGTGAAATTAAGAAACTCGTTTAATTTGATATAAAAAAAATGTAAATTAAATGTAAAAACATTTCTTAAAGTTGAAACTTAAAACTTTAAAAATTAAGTTCTAAAAAAAATGTGGGATAGGTTTTGTTTGTTGAAAAGACAAAATATATAATAAAAATCTTGCAGCTAATATTTTTGAAAGAGACTCAGTTAGGTTCTGTTTTTAAAATTGATTCTTAAATAAATTAGTACATTTTGTGATAAATAAATTAAAGTAGATGTTCATAAAAAAAAATTGTGAAGTTCTTTCGTACAAAATAATTCAAAATACCTTCACAGAAAACTGTAATTTAGTTTAAAAAGAAAATTTCACAGAGTTTCGTCTAAAAAGTCAAACATAAAAAAAGAGACAAATTCCAAAAGTTAGTACAATTTATAAAAAAAAAAAATATAACCTAGTCCATGCAATAACTCAAAAAAAATTGAAAATAGACTACAAATTTTCTAGAAAGCCATAAACACAGTCTAAAAATATACAAAAAAAGGGGAACCACATAATAAAATTTAATCAATAGAAACAGTTCCACGAAAATAGGCTAATTATCCAAAACTCAACCGAAAAAAAACCAAAGACTACCAGAGACTAATTTTCAAATATTTTCCCTCGTTTGTCTACCCGCAGAACTATGGAAAACTGAAAGAAACCGAGGAAAACTCCGAAACAAACGAAACAGCAGAACAGAGAGTGAGAGAGAGCGATAGCTAACGCAGCAACAGAAAACAAAAAAGAAAACTCGACCAAGATGCAGAGACACGCGATGATTGCCCTGGTGGCCATCTGGGGCATCCTGGCCAGTATGGGAGTGGAGCCGGCGGCGGGCTTGGCCAACTGCCCGCCGGGCTGCCAGTGCGACGACAACACCCTGGTGGTGCAGTGCGGCGAGGGGCAGCTGGACGTGCTGCCCATTGCGCTGAATCCATCCATCCAGCGACTGGTGATAAAGAGCAACAAGATCAAGACCATCGACTCGTCCATCCAGTTCTACGCGGAGCTGACCTTCCTGGACCTGTCCTCGAACCACCTGATGACCATCCCGCAGCGCACCTTCGCCTACCAGAAGAAGCTGCAGGAGGTGCATCTGAACCACAACAAGATCGGCCAGATCAGCAACAAGACCTTCATCGGTCTGTCGGCGGTGACTGTCTTGAATCTGCGGGGCAACCAGATCTCGGAGCTGCATCAGGGCACCTTCTCGCCTCTGCTAAAGATCGAAGAACTGAATCTGGGCGAGAACCGCATTGGCTTCTTGGACCCCAAGGCTTTTGATGGACTCACCCAGCTGAGGATTCTCTATCTGGACGACAATGCCCTGACCACAGTGCCCGATCCCGTCATCTTCCAGGCCATGCCCAGTCTGGCCGAGCTCTTCCTCAGCATGAACACCCTGCAGAGCATTCAGTCCGGAGCCTTCCAAGATCTGAAGGGTCTTACCCGACTGGAGCTGAAGGGCGCCAGTCTGCGAAACATCTCGCACGACAGCTTCCTGGGACTGGAGGAGCTGCGCATTCTGGACCTCTCCGACAATCGCCTGCAGCGTATTCCGTCCGTAGGCCTCAGCCAGCTGGTTCGTCTGGAGCAGCTCTCCCTGGGACAGAACGACTTCGAGGTGATCAGCGAGGGTGCCTTCGTGGGCCTGAAGCAGCTGAAGCGTCTGGATGTGAATGGAGCCCTGAAGCTGAAGCGTGTGATGACAGGAGCCTTCGGAGCCAATGGTAACCTGGAGTACCTGAACCTCTCGTCCAACAAAATGCTCGTAGAGGTCCAGGAGGGCGCTCTCAGTGGTCTGCCCCATCTGCGACATGTGGTGCTCAAGGCCAACGCTTTGACCTCGCTGGCCGAGGGTCTGTTCCCCTGGAAGGATTTGCTTACTCTCGATCTGTCAGAGAATCCCCTTTCCTGCGACTGCCGTGTCATGTGGCTGCACAACCTGCTGGTGTCCCGGAATGCCACTCAGGAGGAGGTCTCCGAGCTAATGTGCGAGTTCCCCGAACGTCTGCGTGGCGAGTCGCTGCGTCATCTGAATCCCGCTCTGATGGGCTGCTCCCATACCGATCCCCGCAAGCAGGCACTGATTGGAGCCTTGCTTGTGGGATCCGCTGCCACGATCACCGCCCTGGCTCTGGTTCTGTACCGTTGCCGCCACAAGATCCGGGAGACCATCAAGGGTGGCCTGCTGGGCAACTCTGCGCTGGGCCGCAAGGAGCGCGAGTACCAGAAGACCTTCTGTGACGAGGACTACATGTCGCGCCACCAGCATCATCCCTGCTCCCTGGGCATCCACTCCACCTTCCCCAACACCTACACTGCGCCTCATCATCCAGGAGGAGCACATCACTACGGCATGTGCCCCATGCCAGTGAATGATCTGGGAGGAGCTGTGGATCCGCAGCAGAAGTTCCAGCAATTGGCAGTGCCCACGGCCACGATGGTCAGCGAGAAGAAGTTGAACAACAACAAGGTTATGGCATCGCAGGGAGCTGTGGATGATAGCGCCTCCTTTGTGCTGCACATGAAGACCGCCACCATGGGCAGGGATCCGCACCAGCAGCTGAATCACTACACCAAGCCGCAGTTCCTCTCGGCCACGGCAGCCGTTGGTGACTCTTGCTACTCCTACGCCGATGTGCCCCTGGCTATGCCCATGGTGCATGGAGGGTCGAGTAATCAGCCCCAGTTGCGTCTCACCCAGGAGCACTTCAAGCAGCGCGAGATGTATGACCAGGAGCAGCTGGGCGGCGGCGGTGGTAGCGAGATCTTGGATCCCAACTACATCTACAGCAACACGCACTACTCAATGCCGCTGGAGCAGCTGGGCAGGAGCAAGACGCCCACCCCGCCCCCAGTGCCGCCAGCATTGCCCCTGAGGAATGGCCTTTGTGCCACCACCGGACGCCGCTCCTTTCAGCACAAGGTGTCTGCCCAGCAGCAGAATAACAACACTCTGCGCCAGTTCACGCACTGATCCGCGACCTACCGACGTCGCCAGCTGAGCATCTACGCTTAGTCGGAGTCCGAGCTGCCCACCACTGTGATGCCAAAGGAGCCCAAGGAGCCCCAGTCCCGCCCGTAGACCCCACTATTGGCTAAGTAGGTTTAAGGAAGACACTGTAATAGCTGTAGCCTAGAGCATAAGTCAGAGAAGTCCAGCCTGTACATACCTTTTCCAGCACTATTTCGAATCTAAAGGATCTCTTCACTTCTGTCAGCACTTTGCCACCCAGCAACTGTTTTCCCCCCCGTAAAATAATTACCAATTAATTAACCAATAAGCTGAATTGTAACATATATATACGAGTTTTGATAAACTAAAGACAACAAAGCACTGAGAGTCATTGTAAGCTTAATTTTAACTTATTTAATTTATTGTTAAATGCAAGAAAATCGAATCAACTGCAAGCCACTATTTATGTATTAGTTAGACAAGAAATTTATGCAAATTTAAGCGATAAAAAAAAAAGAAAACAAAAATAACAAAAAAACAGAGAACGAAAAATATATACGCAATGAAAGCAAAAATCATTTGAAAACTGAAAAATTACGCCCTGTGTACTCATTTTCCTTTTGCTTGGGATTTTCCAGCTTTCCTTTTCAGCCCAGCAGCACAGCACACGTGAAAATTTGCCTTTAATTAAACATTTTCTGTTGCAGCGGCAACTTTTCCTCTGTGTCAATTTGTCTCGACATTTTCACTTTTTTCTCTTCTTATTTTTCCCTTTTTTTTGTGCTCAAAACTTTTGACTTTCAATTCAATTAAAAGTAAGTTGCGAGTGCGGGAAAAAAAGGCAGCAAAATTAATATACTATTATTCAATAGTAACGAGCTTGGAAACTTTTGCGGACCGCGCTCAAGCAGAGCGTAGCACGTTGCAAGTGCCACATGCAACCGGAGGAGATGAGGATGAGGTTGGGTTGGGAGGCGGAGGTTCGGCATACATAATTTTCAATTGCGGGAAGCACATGTGAGCATGGCGCAGAGCTACCCCTTCATTGTCACCTGCAATGCAGCTGTCGCCCGGCGGACCAGAAAGTTGCCAACTCACGTCGAAGTTTGCCCCTGGGAAACCGAATTTCGAACCCAAACCCAAAGCCCGGGTTGCCTCTAACATTTATATACACAGAGCGAAAATAATAGAGATGGTTTCCTACTTCCACAGAAAAACAATAAGTATTTATAAAAGATTTTTTTCTGTGTACAATTACCTACGCTGTATCTTCCTGACCTTTTCTCTCTCCGCTCAATTTCAAGCCAAATCGAAACCTATTTAGACAATTACGAAAATAGAAATCATTCCAGAACGAGACCAGCGAGCGAGCAATGTACTGTAATAACAATAAATAAATAACAAAGGCAAATAGCGGCCAGAACCAAGCCCCCCAAATGGCCAACAATGGCAGCCAAGACCAGATACTCACCTCCGAATGACTTCCAGTTGAAGCTGCTGCGCCGCGGCGGGGAATCCATCATCAAATTTCGATTAAAAGGCGCGTGTACCTCAGCTCCACTCAAGAATCTGTATGCCGGCGAGAGAGAGAGAGAGTTGAGAGTCATTCGCACTATTCAAGCTTCATTAGGAGGCAAAGTAACGAAAACATTTTGATTTCGATCATTACAATTTCCTTTCAGGGCCCCCAGTCGAGGGAAAGAGCTACCGAAGAGCCGAAGAGGTTAGTGGATCAAGCCAGAGTCAGAGCCACGGCAAGAGCCACATTAATTCGCCTCAACTCACTCCCCGCCAAGATACGGATACGAGATACAGATGCCAGCGCCGAGATACATTTAGCGATTGTGTATCCCCAGCTCATTCTGACAGACTCGCGGCCAAAGGCAATAATTATCGAGCCAAAAGCCGAAAGACTGGTCCAGATATCGAGTTGGCCCAGCCGCCCCTCCTCTGCCTTGATTGTATGATGACCATGTTGAAAATGCTCATTAAAGGCACTTCAGAAATTAAAGCATTTCACAATTGTTCCAAAGCGAGAGCCCCGCGTCCAGGTTTAGAGTTCAGAGAGATTGAGATTTCCAGATTTTTGATTTTGGCTTTCGATTCGAATACGGATTCGGCCCGCCATTTATCAGATGTTGTTATCTATCTCTTGGCTCGAAGCTCAATTAACGTGGCTTGAATGTCTTTCTGGGGTCAAGCTTGGGGGCGCAACCGATGAGTTTCGGTTGCGATGGAGGGGAAAACCCAAAAAGAAAGGCTTCGAATTCTTTTTCTTTTCTCTCCAGAAGTTTGGTAATTTCATTTTAACGGATTATAATGCTGGGTCTTGTAATTATTAAGTGTGAAACTGCGGTGGGTGTTGCCACCAGATAATACGAAGGTATTCATTATGGTTACAGAGGAACTAACAAGTTTCTAAGACTACAATTATCATAGAGGAAGCTGTCTGCAGTGTTAAGGTGATTCCCCTTTTTATTATTACAAAATAACTAGGGTTGATTTATAAAAGTTAAGATAAAGTATAGTAAGTAAATTTTTTATAAGTTAAAAAACATCTCTTCCCTTTTGCGATTAATCCAAATCAGCTTAACACATATTTTCGGTGTTATTTTTGGACTCTACCTAAAGTTAGTCCGCTCTATATGCACTTATCACCCCATTTAGTCATGGTCGACCATAAACCCCTCTCCAGGTAACACGTGAAACTTAAGCCCGGGGCGTTAAGACTCCCAGCCGCAACCTCTACGCCTTCAAGGCAGCTCGTAAAATGTCCCAATGACAGTTTTCATTTGACAAAAATTGTGCGCATCTTTGGGTTTTTTGTTACACCTTACAATGGGCCCTAACTTGGTCTTCTTTCGGAGCTCTGGGTCTCTCCCTATCCCGCCGAGTGCTGTGAAATTTCCCAACAATAACCCAACACAATTGTCCCGCTGAGCGGAGGAGACCGTGACGCTTGTCCCATGCTGTGATCGGTATGCCCAGGGCTTGGCTCTCCTCCTGCTCACATTAATTTCTCATCATTTGGCATGGCAAAGAGGGAACCAAGGTTCGAGACTACCAACTGCGTATTAATGGAACTGTTATAAGAGATTAGCAGTCACCGAGAACGAAGGAGAGATACCCAAGAACACAGCGCACAATTGCAACTGTTTTTGTCTGTTTAATGCGAATTTTTATGCCTGGCCATATACAAACGCAATTTACAAGAAGGAACAGGGAGGGCAAGGGACTTGGAAGTCGAACTCGGGCGTGATCTACCTAAAAACTCAACTCATTATGGTCAATAATCATTGGAGATTTCTCGGGTCCGGAGTCTGGGAGATTGTGCAAGACTTTCTCAACAATATCGGGTAATCAATCTGAGGAGCTACCGCCTTTTGGGCAATTGTTTTCATCAATTGTTTCCCTATATGGGCCAGAAAATGAGGTTACATTGGGTAATCTTTCCCCAGGGAGACCCATAACAAAGGAGAAAAGATAGGGAAACTGTACAACAAGAAGATCGGATAACTATATTGTATATCAGTGAGCAAAATAACATTATAAATAAAGACAGAAAAAATATATATAAAATATTTCTTTAATTGATTATATAGGCCTTTCAAAAAAGCTATAAGTAATTATGATAGTCTTTCGATATTGATGAAAATATTATTTTATTTATGATAAAGTTTATAATTATGATTAATGATTGAAACCACATTGATGATATATCCATAAAATAAATATATGTACATAAATGAAATCTCTTCATTGGCACTGATATATGTACATATACTGCCCACTTAAAATAGATTAATTTTTCCCTCAAGTGACCGGCACTCATAAATGCAATTTCTGTTGAATAAAAATCGGACCAAAGGGAAAAATCAAGCAGCAAGCTGAAGCCACTGAAGCGACAGCATTTTTAATTAAATAATTATTATAATTGTTGTTGTAGCTTAAGAAGATTTTCATTTTCAGTTGTATTTTCCATTTTCCTTTTTCTCGTTTTTTAATTTCGCACATTGCCAATGTGAGAGCCACGCACAAAAATTAAAAAAAAACCTATATGCGAGAGAGTGTATGAGTGCGTATAATTATGTCAAAATATAAGACCCACAAAGTAAACGAAATTTTCCAACAGCACATGAATGCGAGTCTGGGAAATGGAGTGGGGGAAAGTGTGTGTATATTTGCGGGTGTATGAGTGTGGGTGCAAGTGCGTTCGAAACTTTTGCGAAAATATTTTAAATTAAAATAAAAACGAGAAGAAAAAGGAATTGGGTCGATGGGAGAGTCGACCCTAGGAGCGCTCTATAAAATATTAAGTACTTTAGAGAGCATAGTTACAGAGAACATGGGGAAATCATGATAGTTTAAGGTGTGAAAAATAATTTAAATATTATTTAAAGTAAGAAAAAAAATATTAAAAAGTGTATAAGTATTTTAAGTTGGTTTTACATTTATGTTCCTTATATTTTTACCTTTTTGTGGCATTCAATAATGAAAGAGTTTTATTCGGTATTCCAAACCATGACCAAAAAGTACTCTATATACCCCTTACCCTGCTCCAATTGGGTAAATAAATGCGTGTAAATCTGCTGCCAAGACCGCTGGCATCTCCCATGTTTCACCTGCTTCTCCTTTCAGCTCCAGGGACCACGGACCTGGGACCAGAGGCTGTTGGCAACTTGCAACCTCAACGACTGACAAACAGAAATCGGAAAACAGCGTCGAACACGCCGAGGAATCATGTTCAACTCCTGGCCAGATGGACGCATCCTGCTCCGAACACGGCAGCCGGCATGCAATAATGCTAAATTGTTTTTCAATTATTTTATAGGTTATGGTAATATTTATTTTAATTAAAAACAAATACGCACAGCAGCGGCAGACATGAACACCGGAGCCCCAGGCATTGGCAATTTCTGAGCTTTTATTTTCAGCCCTTTTTTTAGGGAGTAAATATAGTATGCATTCGTATAGCCGAAGGCGGCAAAAAGCGGATTCATTTGCAACATTTAAGGGTTACAAATAAATAAAGTAAAAAAAATTGTAGAACAGCTCATCGTTTTTATAAAGAACTTTTATCAGTTTGATGCAGAAATCCCTTGAATGGGTTACTTTATTTTCAATGGAAATTCAGTTAATTTAAGTTTCAACTTATTTGGGAGTAGTAAATCATTGCGTATATATTGTATTTAAATATTTAAATAGCCGACTAACATTTATTATAAACCTTAATAAGCCCGCAAATTCTTAAATATCTTTAAAAATATTGTCCGCAAAACAACAATACAGGAAAATCAATAAGTGCCTTGACTAGACATAGACAGATAGGAATTTTCGCCTTATTTTCCAGCATTTTCCGCTTAGGTAAACAGGCTAAATATTCATTTTTCAGACCGCACAATTTGCGGTCTCTGGTCAATCAACGTATCAGAGTTGAACCGACAGCATTCCGTTTTTGAATGGAAATTCAAAACGAGGACTAAGTCAGTCCACAAAAAAAAACTAGGAAAAGAGTAAACTCCAAAATCCCAAAACCCTCACTTACTCATACG